ATCCTTCCACTCTCCCTTTGTGCAAGCATGTGGTGTGTGTGAATGTATTTATTGAGGGAAACAAAGGAGGGGGAGAGAGATACACACATATACAAAGAGACAGAGAGACACCCATGCATGCACGCACGCATGCACACACACACACACACAGGTTGAGAATAGAGAGAGAGGGTGAGACACAGAGAGAGACAGAGAAAGTCAGAAAAAATAACAGAGACACTGGAATTGCACTGCCTGCTCAAAACACATTTAGGGAGGGAGGGAGAGACACAGAGACAGAGGTAGAGACAGACATACAGAAACAGGGGGGGAGAGAGACAAGGAGAGAGAGAGATAGAGGGAAAGAGAAAGAAACAGAGACACTGAAATGGCACTGCTAGCTCCTCTATGCAGGCAAACACACATGCACATTCACTGACATTTCAAACATTCACTAAAGATCCATAAAACAGAATACTGGCAATATTCTTCTATATGGATGAGAGAGAGAAGGATGGAACAGAACAGGTTTTCCTGTTAAACAAGCCAAGTTTTATCAAATTCAAAAAATCTCTCTCTCTCTTGTTGTACCCCACCAGGACATCACAAAAGGGATAAACATCCGGTTACACAAAGTGCCACCATGCGGACGAGGATCACCCCTGGAGAGGTCCCAGAAACCCCTTTCAGCCGTTAGGCCATATTTCAGGCCCGGATTTATTCAGGGCCCCGGCAAAAGCCAGGGTAGGTAGTAGTAGTAGTAGTACATTTTACCCCACTAGGACATCACACAAGCGATAAAACACTTGATAATACAAAGTGCCACCATGCGGACGAGGATCACCCCTGGAGAGGTCCCAGAAACCCCTTTCAGCCGTTAGGCCATATTTCAGGCCCGGATTTATTCAGGGCCCCGGCAAAAGCCAGGGTAGGTAGTAGTAGTAGTAGTACATTTTACCCCACTAGGACATCACACAAGCGATAAAAAACTTGATAATACAAAGTGCCACCATGTGGATGAGGATCACCCGTGGAGAAGTCCCGGAAACCGCATTCAGCCATTAGGCCATATTTATGACAGGGCTATATTGCAGCCCCTGGCAAGAGCCAGGGTGGGGCTTCAAAATAACAAATAATTGCATCTCACAAGGGCATGACCAGTTCTAACCAGGGTGGGGCGGGGCTTAAAATGACACAAAATTGTACCTCACATGGGGACGACTAATAATTAGGGCTGTACCAAATATTCGCTTCGTATTCGCTTTGGGACCGAATAGTGGACCTATTGACTATTCGGTATTCGGTCGAATAGTTGCGGTCAGGCCGAATACGAATAGTAGTTACCTTCTGCATACACGGCCCTAATACTGACAACATGGAACGATTGGTTTTGTTAAAGCTAATGCAGCTTTCCTGCATTAACTAGGCTGTCAGTGACAATTTCCAAGTTTAGTTAATTGTTATAATACTTAGGATTCTTTCATTCCCAGTTATCAGTTACCACAGACTGACTGAAGGATGCAAAACATGAAATATTTTGTAATGTTTACTGTTCTAAACGAATACTAACTAGATATGGAAAGAATATAAACTCCAGCCACAATCAAGTCGATAATATGAAAATCAAACGAACGGAAAAATATATGTACTTGGGTGCAAACTTCAACTGCTCCAACATGCTGAGTGAAGAAATACTACCTAGAATACAATCTAGAAATCAAGTATACTATGCCCTTCAACATCTGCTAAAGTCAAAGTGCTGTCTCACAACATCAAGATCAAAACGTTGATGAGACCAGTCGTTTTATATGGCTCTGAAACTTGAAGCAGAAATAAAAGAGATGAGGCCTCATTACAGGTTTTCGAAAACAGTCTTACGACAAATCTATGGACACATCAAAGATGCTAACAGCGGGGAATGGAGAGTGAGAAGCAACAACGTAACACATAATCTGTTTAAATCACCATCGATCACTGGCATCATGACAGCTAACAGACTAAAATGGTTGGGGCATATTGAAAGAATGTCAGATGACAGAGAAGTAATACTGTATACACCTGAGAGAGGAATGGGCGTAGACCACGAGGCAGGCAAAAAAAAAAGAAGTTTGAGAGATAATGTCCAGAGACAGACCTGCAAACAGCTGGTGTCACAAATTGTGAAGAGAAGGCCAGCCAGAGAGATGAATGGAGATGAGTGATATCTGCAGCAGTAAACCTCAAGGGATCAGAATGCTAGAGAAGAAGATGACTATTCTGTGACTATACTTTATGTGAAGTAAAAGTTCAGCTTACATTTGACATTATGAATGTGTGTGTGTGTGTTTTTTTTTTAAAGATATATTTTATACACACTACACTATTTGTATTCGTACTTGGCTGAATAGTTGGTCCCAGTTATTCGTATTCGGCCGAATAGTATTCGGTACAGCCCTACTAATATTTCCCAAAAATCTCCTGATGTGAACCTACCTGTTGATTTTGACTGATCTGTTGGTTCTGGTTAAACTGTTGTTGTCCTGAAACTGGCTGTTGCTGAAATTGTTGCCCTTGTGGAGGTTGCTGCTGAAATTGTTGTCCTTGGGGAGGTTGCTGTTGAAATTGTTGTCCTTGTTGCTGAAATTGTTGTCCTTGGTGAGGTTGCTGTTGAAATTGTTGTCCCTGTGGAGGTTGCTGTTGAAATTGTTGTCCCTGTGGAGGTTGTTGTTGAAATTGTTGTCCCTGTTGAGGTTGCTGTTGAAATTGTTGTCCCTGTTGAGGTTGCTGTTGAAATTGTTGCCCTTGTCCTGGAGATGGCTGTTGCTGTTGCCCTTGTCCTGGAGATGGCTGTTGCTGAAATTGTTGTACTTGTGGAGGCTGTTGGTACTGCTGCTGTTGTTGTTGCTGTTGATATTGTTGCTGTCCTAGAGGTGGCTGTTGCTGCTGATTAGCATGTTCCGACTCAAATGTGAGATCGTGTGGAGGCTTGAAAAGATGAAAATAAACATTTTATTTCTATTATACAGGGACATCAAAAATGATTACCAGAATTTTCTTCTTCTTCTCTTCTTCTTTGTTCACCGGCTGTAAGTTTCTGTGGAAAGCCCTGGTTGTTCATCCATTTGGTCATTGGCTTTGTGTCAGGGCCTGAGATTTGCTTGTACATCCATTTTACTGGCTTATTTGTGGGCAGTTGGTTGTTCCTTGCCGCTCGAGCAGATGCACTTCGATTTCGAAGGAAGCCCCCAATTAGTCAATTCCTACAACATGCAAAAAAGAAGTATTTCTTCGATATACATGAGTGCAATCTTAAAATGTTCAGAAAAGTTCACAGTTTTAAACTTACCTTGGTACATTTCTATGTGGGCATCACTTGTAGCTCTAGTTAATGAGTGAGTTGGGTTATCATCATTGCATTCCGGACATGTCTTCAGGTGCTCAGATCCTCCCCTCAGTATGAACCCCAGCGTCCTGTGGCTAACAGTACCAGTTCTATGTTGATTAACAAGTCCTCTGATGTGCCTGGCATGCCTCTTGATTTTTTGCTACGCTGATCCTAACTCCCAAGTCTATCATTCTGGCTATTGATGTTGATTCATTGTCCGTAAAGTCCTCCACCCTTCCCCTTCCTCGGAGGACATGATCTGTAGGCTGACCGTTGGTAGTGATAGCGGACACTTGTAGCTCTGATGATGTCAGTATTTAATCTCCTGCCATGTCTGCTGAATCTTGTCCACAGTTACAGCTACAACTGCTGCGGCGACCCTCTTTATGCGTTCTTTATTTTCTCAGTGCCATTTTAAGTCTTATAGCCACACAAGGTCACACGAAGAATTAACATTTTCTGAATATTTTAAAACACTGCACTTGAATATCCAATAAATACTTCTGTTATAACAGTTTTAAATCCGGCAAAATTCTCGATGATACTGCATAGTATATCAATCATGAACCATTCATAATCAATAAAGGAAAACCAAGATATATGAACTTTGAATTTCACAGAATAAAAGAAAGTAGAACATCATGGCTTATGATGACAATTATAATGATGATGATGATGATGAAGAAGAAGAAGAAGAAGAAGAAGAAGAGGAGGATGAAGAAAAATACTCATATTTTGCCAAACTTTCTTCTTCTTCTTCTTCTTCTGCTCTTTATCCCCCACTGGAGCATAAGCCTTCAACAAACTCACGCCAAGTCATCTTATCCTTTGCTATTACATGCAGCTCACCCTGTGTCCTTCCTATCTTGTTCACTTCACTAATGCCCTTCTCCAAGTGTTTTCTGGTCTGCCTTTACTCGTCTGCTCTTGGGGGGTTTCCCAGTGTAATGATGACAAGAAAACATTCTTCACAGTTTTTTGTGTGTTTTGAATCCACACTTAGTCTGATTTTGTTAAAATCGTGATTGTAAGTGACTCACAGAGCATGTTGAGAAAGATGAAAATAGGCATGCTTCGTGCAGAGTGGCAAGCATCACTTTAGATGTCCTGGGTAGTTAGCGCTCTTTGGATATTTTCTCAAGGTGTGTTGGAAAATGAGTAGGCAGTTAGACTTGCTGGCTCTGCACCACTTAGTGGTTAATTAATGTATGACAAGCTAGATATTGTGAGGGCCCTTTGGGAGCGAGTGAACAGTGCGGAGGCGCAGATAAGTCATTACGGTCTAAAGAGAATTGCACTGCGAGGAGTTACCAGGAGATCTGGGCAACACTAAAAACTAAAGGGAAGGATGAGACGGATATACAATCAGACAGTTACTGGTGCCATCAGAATTGGATGTCTTCGCTTGCTGCTGAAGATGGGAACTCAGCACTCATGGGAGTGTCCCGAGTGCTGTAATGTCCATTCTTCACTGCTCTTTTCATCTGTCCAGGGTATTCTCATCATTCGTCTATAAAACCTCACCTCTGCAGCTTCATCATGCCTTGTCTATCAGCAACAATATGAAGAGGATTCAGAGAGATCCCTATTAATAAATGCAAAAACATATAAATGATCATAAATATTTTCATAGGTGATTCAACAGTTCACTCCCTACCTGAATAACACCTGGCTGTGCATGGTAAGCCTCTAAATACCTTCGATAGTCTTCATCTGTGTACACAGGTGTTTCATCAACAGTCTGTAAGAACGAAAAACAGAAATGTAGAACATTAGAGGGCAGAGGGTGGGGCTGAAACTATGAGCTCTTTCATTATCAAGCTGGGGGGGGGTCTCTGTGGCAAAGTGATCAAGCTATTTGCCTCGTGTTCTGAAGGTCGCGGGTCTGTGTCACGGTGGCGCCGTTCAGTTCACGATTGTATTTTCACAGAGATCCCTGGGGATTGTCACTGAAGCTGCGGAGGTCGCGCTCTATGCGACGCTCTCGGCAGGCAGTAACTGTTCTGCGGAGAGAGACCAAGCCATATGGGATCAAACCAAGTGCAATGAAGTCGATCCCCTCACTTTACCTTTCATTATCAAGCTGGCCACCATACGTGTATTGTTTAGTCCACAGGGTGTCTCATACGTTTCCATACACAGAAAAAGTAAACATATCACCAACACTATTTACTCTTTCAGTCCCATACAACGCACGAAGTGTCACTGACTATTCCCCACGAGTCTCAAACATTACATCATGTCTCTTCTTATATTTAAGTTTTGGTCAGTGTGTACTCAATAAATCTGGCAACCACGTGGGTATCTTTCTTTCATTTTTCAGTCCTACAACACAATTAGGTTAGTTACATATCCTTCACAGGACGTTGCAGAACCAACCCCAGCAGCCCCTGGCTTTTGTGTGGTTTCTCTAGGCAAATTTACGTCCAGTAGTTTGCCATTACTTCTGGACGGTCAGCACCCTGATACCACTGTCGAAACCAATGCAAGGCCCATGGCCAGCAACTGGGATCAAACCCAGCACCCCGGCATTACGAAGCGTTCGCACTGACTTAGCCACAGAGCTGACCAGCACAGCTAGAGGTTTGAGTTTTTGTGGCAATATTTAATGGACAAATATAATATTTTTTGTGTGCAAAACCTTATGGGACCGAAAGATTCAAACTCCAGCTGTGCTTGCACATATTCTTTAGCAGTGGAGGACTTCTTCTTCTTCTTCTTCTTCTTCTTCTCTGTTCACTGGCTGTAAGCTCCGGCAGTAAGTCCTGGCTGTTCGTCCATTTTGCTTTGTGCCATTCCTGAATTTTGCGTGTACATCCGTTTTACTGCTTATTTATGTACAGTTGGTTGTTCCTTGCCGTTCAGGCAGATGTACTCTGACTTCGAAGGGAGCCCCTAATTCGTCGACTCTTACCACATGCTTGTTGGGAAGGCAGTGTGTCGATTCTTGTTTTGCCCACAGTGAGGCCCCGGAACCAGCAGAGGCACAGCAAACAACTACTTATGGTAGTCATTTGAAAAAATGTTAATTTTTCCTAAGTAGGGAACTTATAATCTTCTTCTTCTTCTTCTTCGCGTTCACCAGCTGTAAACTCTGGTGTAAAGTTCTGGTTGTTCGTCCACTTTTGGACTGCAGTCCTGTTCCAGAACCTGAGTGTTGCGTGTGCATCAGTTTTACAGATAAGATTCAATTGAATGCAGACTGCTGGTTCCTTGCCTCTCAGGCAGATGCACTCCGACTTCAAAGGAAGCTCCCCAGTTAGTCGACTCTTACGACATGCTTTTGGGGAGGCAGTGGGTCTATTCTTGTTTTCCCCACAATAGGGCCCCGGAACCCACACGGGGGGGAACTTATAATGCTATAGAAAGATTTTCAGAATATCTTGGACAAAGAAGAAGAGAAATACTGACATCTTGAAAGATCTGAACATTAAGGAAGGTTGGCTAACAAACAGCATCCTATCTTGGAAGCTGAAATATTTTGGTCATATCAAGCGCCATGACGGATTGGAAAAAAATAATTGTAGAAGGCATGGTACCAGGAAGAAGGGGCAGAGGCCGACCAACACAAAAATGTGCACAGAATAAGTGACTACTTGAGTATGAAAGTACACGAGGCAGGAGAGCTGGCCAAGAGACCCAGCTTCTTTCAAGCAAACCGGGATGAGAGTGACGTTCTGCAAAGGACCTGCTACATGATGATGATGAGGGAACTTGTGGGACACACTGAGAACAAGGTATACTTTCCCAGCACCATGTGGCTAATTCTTCTCTTTCATTAATATTCCCATCTTATTGTTAGTTCAACACTTATGTTAGCAACTTCAGAGAAAACTGCTCTTCAAAGACCAAAACCACTGACTGAATGAATTATGGACTATGACAGACAGAACGACAAAAAAAAATAGATTTCTAAGATCAAGCATCTTTCCCATTGCAACATACACCTGTGAGACCTGGACACTTTACTAAACAAGCTGAACAGCGCATAAATGCCTTTGAATACAAATGTTATACACGGGTTCAAAGAATGTCATGGATAAAAAAAAGAACAAATGCATCCATACTTCAAGAACTGAATATTAAAGAAGGCTGGATATTAAAAATGATAAAATACAGAAAATTTCAAATATTTTGGTCACTTCAAACGTCATGAAAGTTTAAGGAGAACAATAATGGAGGGGTATATGCCTGGGAAGAGAGGAAGAGGACGGTCAAAGAGAAGATGTAGCAGATGATCTTCAGATGGGTGCCTTGGACGCGGGTTATCTTGCTTGTGATCGAGAAGTTTTCTGGAGGATTGTTATGGGATTATGCTTCTGCAAAGGACAGGCTACTGACTGACTGACTGACTGACTGACTGACTGACTGACTGACTGACTGACTGGACTGACTGACTGACTGACTGACTGAGAGAAAGTCATGAAATGACAAATCACTAATCTGAAAAAAATATTAATATGTGATAAAAACTGATGTCTTTGAAGCCACATTCAACAGATATTGCTGGCCTACAGGAAACACAAATCCCCAAGGATGGGTGCATTAAGGAGAGCAACTGTACCCCCCTTTTGGAAAGACAAAGGCAAGGATGAAATGTAACAGTATGGGGTGGGATTTGCAATAAAGAGAACAACTGTACTCTCTTTTGGAAACGCAAAGGCTAGGAAGAAATCCAACAATGGGGGGTGGGATTTGCACAGTAAAGAGAACAATTGTACCCTCTTTTGAAAAGTCAAAGGCCAGGAAGAAATCTAACAGTATGAGGCAGTAAAGAGAACAATTGTACCCTCTTCTGGAAATTCAAAGGCCAGGAAGAAATCCAACAGTCCGGGGTGGGATTTGCAGTAAAGAGAACAACTGTACCCTCTTTTGGAAAGGCAAAGGCCAGGAAGAATTGGGATTTGCAGTTAAGAATTAACTGTTGGAATTAACTTAGAGTTCAACTAGAGGAAATGACAGAATATTATCTCTAAGACTATCTCATGTGGTTTTATCACCCTTGTTACTGCATGTGCTTGCACAAAAACATCAACAGAGGACCTAACAGATTCTTTTACGATGAACTGGAAAATGAATTGAAGGCAATTCCTAAATCCTGTAATAGAAAATTAGATCACAAAGTAAATTTTACTCTGTATCTTTTAGAAACAAGCATCTGTCTTCTTCTTAGCGTTCATCAGCTCTTAACCCTGTAAAGTGAATCCACTTCAGGACTTTGGTCTTGTTCCAGAATTTGAGTTTTGTATGCACATCCCTTTTACAGATATGGCTTCTTTGTATGCAGACTGTTGGTTTTTTGCCTCTCAGGCAGATGACTCTGACTTTGAGGAAGCAACCCCAATTAGTTGCATTTTACAACATTCTTATTAGGAGAGCAATTTTCTCCAAAATTGGGCCCGGTTACCCACACAGGAAAAACTCAGGCATGACTCTCCAATTTTTTTTTTTAAAGCAGACAAGAAATGGGCTACCACTGCTTGCTCATTTAGGCATGACCACCTCAACAACAACAAAAACACACACACACGGCAAAAGGAAACCAGACTTACATTCCAACCTTCATCCTCCTTAAACTCTGCCTTATCGCCAGCAGTCCCAGTGTAATCAATAAACTCTTGAAAGGAAATCCTGTAGTCCTTATTTTTGTCAATCTCCTTGAAGACATGCTCCCTCATTCGATTCATCTCCTCCTGTCTCTCAATGGGGTCATCTTCTTCTGGAGATTTGTTGTTATCATAAACTTTGTCCAACTGTTTAGGAGGAAAAAAAATTGTCAACAGTCTATTAGTTCACTTCATTTTATTCTTAAAAATAGCTGAAAGACAGTAGTCTTCTTCTTTCTTCTAGCCTCCAATGGAGCATAGGCCCTCAATCAACTCACGCCAAGTTGTTTTATCTTTCGCTATCACATGCAGCTCCCCCATGTCCTCCCCATCTTTTTAACTTCATTCTCCAGCGCCCTTCTCTGTGTGTTTTTGGCTGTCTTTTATTCATTCCTATGCCCGTGTGAGTTCCAGTGCAAAGACATTCTAGTTATATTGTTCTCTGGTTTTCTCAATGTGTGTCCTATCCGTGTGCGTCTTTTCTTCACCTCTTGGTCCACTGGAGCTTGCAGAAAGGCAGTATTGCCTAATGTTTAAAGAAGAGCTTTCCAAACTTGTGTTGCAACATGTTAGTGTGTCAGCTGCAGTGGGAAGGTGTGTTGCACAAATGTAAAGTATCACAGAGAATAATATGTGTGTGACCTCTTATAACAGGTTAGTCTAAACTCTAGTTAGCTAGTAGATTGAATTACTATGTGGCAAAATTATGTTTATCAAAAACATGTCACCAACATGAGTTATTAAATAAGAACTGACTTCATAGCACGCAGGTCATACCCATAAGTGCTCCTTCCCCATCCTCAGCAGCAAGCGCAGAGTTTGAATTCCAATGGTACCAGTAGCAGTCTGACGGTACATCTGTCTAGCCTCTTTCCTGAGTGACGAGCTCTGGTTCAAGGTGACAGGCCAGAACTCTAACCAGAGGAACAGAATCTATGAAGCGATCTTTGTCTGTCTTGTATTTCTTTTTTCTTCTTCTTTTTTCTCGGGGGTCTCACGCTGGCGAAGTGGTCAAGCCGTCTGCCTGACGTTCTGAAGATCATAGGTTAGTTTCTCAGCTGCGTTGTTTGGGTCACTGGTGCAATTTTTTTGGACACCCCTCTTTGCTGGTACCAGCCTTCTCATATTATTTTTTCCAATCTGCCGTGGCTCTTGATATGGCCAAAATATTTCAGTTTCTGAGACAAGATGCTTTTTATCTGCCAATTTTTCGTTGATGTTCAGATCTCTTAGGATGTAAGTCTTTCTCTTCTTCTTTATCTATGGTATTCTGAGAATCTTTCTATAGCATTTAAGTTTAAAAGCCCCTTATTTTCTTCCTTAAGAACTGTGAGATAATAAAACATTATACAGTCAATAAAAGTGAACCACAGTCACACAATCACTGGAACATTAAAGGGTAGGAGAAGACTGTCAGAAGAACTAGTGAGAAAACAAGACAATTTACAGAAACAGCCATTAGAATAACTAGTAAGAAAACAATACAAATTTACCTCCAACTGCAGCACCGCATCTACTTCTTCAATGCTCCATTCCATATCCCCATTTATATCTGGTCAGACAAAACAAAATTTATTTTATTTTTAATTTTCTAAAATGCATAAGAGTTGATCCAACAGATCGCACTTAGCAAATATAAGTTCAAAGTTAATCAGCTGACTCTTTCGGTCCCGAACAACGCATGATGTGTTACTATTCCCCACAGTCCCAACCATCACATTTTACATTTAAGTTTTGGTCAGTGCTTCGAATCAAATCTGGCAGTCACATGAGTATCTTTCATTCATTTTCCATTCCTACAATATTGCAAGTATAGTTTTCATGGCAATATTTAATGAAAAAATAATGACTTTAGTACAAAACCTTTTAGGACCAAAAGAGTTAATAGCAGTTCCGATTTCACATCAAACAGTAGTAATTACAACAAATTGGTAGTTGTACATGCAATACTGCATAAGGCACCAACAGATCTGTGGCACAGGCCACTCACCATTTTCTGTGTCTGCAGGTCACACAAAAAACCATGTTGGGCACAGGTGAAACAAATTCAAAATGAAATCCACAGCTCACATTGTTGTGCCACACACTCTATTCAGTAGCTTGGCAATGGAACTCTATACTTTCGGTTTACATACTGGGAGAAATGCAACAGCCAACCATATCTAGAAGCAAATAACTTGCCAAAACTAAAACAGCTGGCCTGCTTACCTGTCATATTGAACCAGAAGCCTAGGCACATGTAAAGAACACAGTATCCATAGTGGTAAGTTCAAAGATCTCAACAAAAAAAAACTGTTAGTTACAGTAACACAAAAGTTAGTTACATTCTGTTTTACAGGATGTTATAAACAAACTCCAGTATTTGCTGGATGTTTGTCACTTTACTGTGTAATTTTACATTCAGTAGTCTGCCATGAAATTATAAAGATGGAGAGGAAATGGGGAGAGCTGCATGTGAAAGCAAAAGATAGAACTGCTTGGCGTGAGTTGGTTGAGGACCTATGCTCCATTGGGGGCTAGAAAGGCAGAAGAAGAAGAAGTCTGCCATTTCTTTGATGTAGCAACGTACGGATATTTGTTATGGTGTTTTACTCAATGATTTTGAAAAAATGTAGCTTTAGAACTGAAAATGCTTCAGAACAAATTCTCAGAATACCATCCACCAAGAAGAAGGGACACATAAACATTCTACATGATCTGAGCAGCATGGAAAAACCCGCTCATAAACAGCATCCTGTCCCGAAAGCTGAGGTATTTCGGCCATGTTAAATGGCGGCCTGGAGAGAACTGTGATGGAGGATACAGTTTCTGGAAAACAAAGCAGAAGCCAACCTCTGCGCAGGTGGATACAGAACATTGACAAAGCACATAAGGCTGGAGAATTGGCTAGAGACAGAAAGACTTTTAGGGGTGCAGTGATGGGAGTGACGTTCTGCAAAGGACCTGCTGATTGATGATGATGATGTCATTTGCTATTGCTTTCTGAAGGTTTCACTGATTACAGTTGTTGAAATAAGTATAAAGTAATCTGCTGCAAAAATCACTGAACCGAACCCAGTATGTGAGAATTATGAAACTGTATTCATAACCCCTAATCAACAGATACCGACCTGCAGTAATAGTGTGCAGAAAAAAAGGACAGAAAAAGATAAAAGAGAAGGTGAGGAGAGAGAGAAAGCGTGAAGTAAAGACACTAACTGAGAAAGAAAAAGAGGATATGAGAAGAATGCATGAAAATTGAAACAGATCTGCTTCTTCTTCACTTCCTCTTTCACTACTTTGTGTGTTGAGGGATATATAAGGTTCTGCTTCTTGCTCTTCTGGCCACCTCGACCATATACACATAGTGCTGTTTTAGAGTTTCTCTGATATTATCTTTCCATATGTTTTTGGTCTACCTCATGCTTCACATATTCCTCTTTTGGTGTATGCCGTGCATAGACCGGCAACACAAGGCATTTCCTCCAAGTGGGCAAACCATTTGATTCGCTATGTTTGTATGTAATTTAGAATTGATTCTGTGCTGAATTTTTCGCTTATAAAATCATTTTTGATTTGATCTCTTCTGGTCACTCCTGCAGCCCTTCTCATGGACATAGATATGTTTCCAAAATGACCCTTTATGGACTTATTTCACAATAATAGTATCTACATGTCAAAAAAGTCAACTAATTCTTCTTCTTCTTCTTTGCATTTGGTTTTGTATGCTCAGATCAGACCATCAGGTGGGTTGCCTCTATGAACTCGCATGTCAGCAGCAGGCCCTTCATGGATCCCCAAAGCTTTGCTCATGAGACCAGGTGTCTTTTTAAAAATGTATGTAGAGTGGGCAGGTCTGCAGAATGTGCTCAGGTGTTTGTGGTTCTGTTTGACAGGCCCACTTGGGGAATTGTAAAATCTTTATTTTATGCATGTGGTAGTTGAGCCTGCAGTGTCCTGTTTGTAGACCGAAAATTGTTGTATGCTGCTTTCTGCTGAGTCTGTTTGTTTGTTCTCTCCACAATGCCTTGCATTTTCCCATGATGAGTGTTTTGATTTCTGGTAATGAAAATGAATTGGTGTGCTGTTTCTCCTTTGTCCCATTTTTTTGCAGACTGTCTGCTAACTCATTTTCTGGTATGCTACAGTGAGCCGGGATCCACTGGAGAACGATTTGATTGTTTTCTGAGTCTGTTTAGCTGGCGGGCCAGTTCTCTCTCCATGTTGTCTCATGGATCCCTCTGAGTCGCCTGGAAGACCAACATGCAGTCACACAGGAAAACATTTTTGCTTTTTAAAAAAAACCTCATTAAAGGTGTTTCTTTTAACCCTTTCGCTACTATGGACGTCTTTTCCAGTTTTCCTGTACGCTGCTACACCCATCTTTGGATGTTACTTTTTTTTCTTGACCCCCAGTGCTATGGACTTAAATTACAGATTTCTGTGGCCTCTTGTCTCAGGGGCCAAAGGGCAATATAGGTTAGCTATATTTAGATTCAACTGACCCATTTACATACGATTAAAAGCACTGGCATGTGTTGCATTTATGTGTGTTTGTGTTTCCTGCATCCGCGTTATCCCGTCGCTTTGTTTACCGTGACAGCGTGGTCGGTGATCTGTGTATTTTGTGCCCTGAATATATTTGTGGGTTTGGATTATTCTACACTTCGTTAGTACTAAATGGCAAGAAAACTTGTTAAAGTTGATGAAGAATTGATGGAGTTTCTGTCAAGGAGTGATAGCGAAGACGACTTTAAAATGTGTACTTCTGACAGTGAACATGAAGATTTGACTAGGCCATCAACATCAACGGCTCAAACAGGCGTGTCTAAGAAAAAGCTGTTTGCCTGTCCGACGTCCTCATCATTGGAATCAGAGAGCAGCGACAATGAAGTGCCATCAAAACAGCAAAAACATTTATCAGTTGTCTTGGTCAACCGATGATCTGATACCAGTAGTGCATAATTTTGCTCTGGCTGTATTTATGCTACTGTAAATTCAAACAGCTCTGATTGTATTTCTGCTACTGTAAATTCAAACAGTTCAGTGCTTGATTTTTTTCTACTTTTTTTTTTTTCACGGAATCATTGATGACATTCATGGCAGCTAAAACTAACAGGTTCTGCAAGGAAGTAATTGAGAAGGCACCTGCCACTACAAGCTCTCATCTTTCCCGATGGACAGACACAGATTTTGACGAACTTTTTTTTTTTTTTGGTGTGTCTGTCGGCTAATGCTCAGAACAAAGAAACTCAAAATAAATGAGTACTGGAGCAAAGACTGTTTGCTAAAAACTCCAGTGTTTAGTGAAATAATGTTGAGGGACAGATTTTCACTATTGTTGAGAATGTTACATTTCTCAGACAACAGTGCTAATGCAGGCGGCGATAGATTGTACCAAATTAGACACATTATTGATAGTCATTTCAGGGTGCATTTTCAATATATCTGGATGTGGTTATCGAAGAATCACTACTTCTTTACAAAGGAGAATCATCTTTCAAACAGTACACTGTGTCAAGAGATAGTCTAGTGTAGTTGGTATCACGTCCGCCTTAGAATCGGAAGGTCGCTGGTTCAACCCCCAACTTATTTTTTTTTTAAATTATTATTGTAAATTTTCCTTTCAGTTCTTGCCACTTTTCAGCAACGGATGACTCAACTATTATTTTTTTTTATGTAATAACATGATGACTACAATTAACAATGATTAAAGTGAGAACCGTGGTAGGTTCGTCAATCAAATTTTGGGATAGGTACTGGAAACAGTTCTTCCCATTAATTCCCCACCCCCACCCCTACTCCCGGGGGGGAGGGGGGGGTAGCTTCAAATGGTCAAGTTTGTCACCACTCGGGCCAACCACACAACTGCCTAGGGTAAAATTTGTTAGGTGTACAAAATATAGCCCTCACAATGACGCATCTTTTACGTTTGGAGGATAGAAAAGTACTGCGCACAGCAGATACTTTTTTCCACATTGCTTAGCACAGGACAGACAGCTATGGCAGGGAACGTAGCAGCGAAAGGGTTAAATTAGGAGTGCATCAGCCTGAGAGGCAAGGAACCAACAGTCTACTTACAAATAAGCCAGACATGTAAAACAGATGTGCACTCAAAACTCAAGTTCTGGAACAAGACTACAATTTCCAGAAGCAGACAAACAACCAGAACTAACCACCAGAGTTTACAGCTGGTAAATGTGAAGAGAAGCCAACAATGTCGCATACCAGCTTGCCCCAATTTTAAAACACCCTGCTGTCCCAGCTGAGATAAAAAGACAAATTATAAATACAATCTTTATACCGACATTAGGTTATCAATGTCAGACTTGGACATTAACAAAAGAACATGAGAGAAGACTAACCACCTGTGAAATGAGATGTTTGAGAATGGCTGCGAAAAAAACCAGAAGAGATCGAGTGAGAAACGATGTGATTACAAGAACTATTGGAACCATACCCATCGTTAAATTTATTGAGAAGCAAAGAATGAAATGGTTTGGTCACCTAATGAGAATGGAACCAACGATGCCAGCATCAAGAGCATACAACATGAAAATCGAAACAACAAGAGGCAGGGGAAGACCAAGAAGAAGATGGATTGAAGGAGTCACGGACAACTTGAAACTTCATAACATCCCGGCATATGAAGCGACTGAGCGCGCCCTGGCTCGGTTGCCGATCATCTGATAGACTGCGACGCCTAGCGGCACAAGCAGATTTTGACAAAAGAAGAAATGTGAAGAGGAAGAATGTTCTGCTTCTCAAGTAATTTAGTTCACAGTGTGGTTCCCAATGTCTTATGGTATTATTTCTCAATCAGCTACAGATAGTTCAACTGACAGCTTTTCTCGGGTGTGGTTTTACTTCTCGATCAGCTACAGATAGTTCAGCTGACAGCTTTTCTCGGGTATGGTTTTACTTCTCGATCAGCTACAGTTAGTTCAGCTGACAGTTTTTTTTTGGGTATGGTTTTACTTCTTGATCAGCTACAGATAGTTCAGCTGACAGCTTTTCTTGGATATAGTTTTACCTCTTGATCAGCTACAGATAGTTCAGCATGCAGCTTTCCTCAGGTACTTCCTCTCACAGGTGTTAATTATACGCAGGATTGCATAGCTCAACATTAAAGAATATATACAACACACAATCTTACCATGTTTAAAGAAGAATGTTTTAGGGTTGAACTCTTGGTCTTCCAGATGATCCACCTTCTCCCAGACTTCCTCAAACTGGTCCTTGCTGCCCTAATAACAACAGCACAAGTTACTAAGATAATAACAAATTATTAAATGGATAAAAACAAACGAGTATAAAACAAAAACAAACATACAGATCTGAGGTAAAGTTGGAAAATTTAAATTTATATTTATAAACATACATAAAAAGGTAACAGGTGTCTCCAATATCAGTGCATTAACCCTTTCAGCCCATGAGTGCTTGAAAAAAAATGTATTATGAACATACGGGAATTTCCAGAATAACATCCTTAAAATAAACAAGAATATCGCACAGGTCACTAATACATTTAAAAAAATTTATTTGGCTATAGCTATACATTTTTTATAAATATATATATTTTTTAACATGTGTTTTTTTAAGTATCCAGAATTATGAGTTGTTAACCCTTTGGCTAGGAACTATGGATATCACAACCATTCGGCCTTGATTCCATAATAGGTACCGTAAATCTGGGAGAAATGTGGCTTTTATGACTACCCCCAGGCGTAAACCCGGACCACAAGGAGTTTGTCACCCGGTCACCATGAAGTCAGGTTTAACCAACTACGCTAGTCAGCCAGGCCTTTTAATATATAAAAAAGGTAATTAAGAATCATGAACAGAGAGAAGCATTAAACAGAATACATTCCTCGGGGCCTAAAAACAATATGTATCGAGGACTTGTGTCATGACTCTGTGACCTCTTTTACTGAGGCTTATGGGAAAATCTGAACTAAAACACAACATTGGAGTCATAAGGAAATCCCTGATTTGTTATGTTTAGTTACTATATTCACATCCTGGCCTATTAAACACTGCACAGACACACAGTAGAACCAGCAGCATTTAACTATGCTTTTCAAAAACAGGTCACTTAAGACATGACGATATACCAACATTCCTGGGACTGTGTAATAACCGAACGTGACAAGATTTAGCCTTCTTGAAGCGCATGAGTTAATAGAACCCATCTGAGAAGCCAAGGGAAAAAAAACTACAACCTAGCAGACATGTTGTAAGAGGCGACTAGGAAGGTATGTTAACTGGACTCATTCTACAGATAATTTCAGCTGTAATATCTAACCAATTATTAGCAAGTCTAGTGTGAGCAGGTTGAGGGAATATGCTTCATTGGGAGAGGAAAGCAGTGAATAAAAAGATACAAATATACGGATGTTCATGCAACATTCAGGTTCTGGAACAGGACCAAAGTACAGAAGAAGACAAATAACCAGGACTTTCTGTCGAAGATTACAGCCAGTGAACACAAAGAAGGAGAAAAAGAGACAGTCATCATTTTTTGGTCATTTTATGAGATGAGGGAAACTGGAACATGTTGTTACCACTAGAAAGATCTGTAAAAAGAGAGAGACAGGAAGACAGCGCAAGAAGATTCTTGGCAGCCTTTTGTTATGGCACAGAGGGATGTCAACACATGAACTGAGACAGGCAGCTGATTGTAGAGAGGTATGATCGCCTAGGCCAGTCGGCAAGGAACGTGATGATGTTGCCAAATGATCATTCAGAGTAAAGACGCCACTGGTGCTCACTTGATTATGAATGAATGTTGTTTTATAGGAAATTCAGGCCAGAATTCAGGATCTGGAGAGTTATGTTCTAGAGGAAGATGACATGACTGTATTTGAATACATGTCGAGTTCTGGACATGAATAAATGTTTAATTTTGTTGGAGAAAAAAGATGAGACATCCCTAGGAAATGAGCCCTGCTGTATTCTTCTTTTGAAGCAAAATAATTATAAGACATGGGGAAACAATGAACAGTGAAATTAGAACATTATATACAACAATGAGAAGGAGACAAACAAAGTTCTGTGGTCATGTGATGAGAAAAGGAGCACTGGAAAATATTGTGATGACTGCAAAGATCACTGGCAGAAGAGGCATAGGCAGACCAAGAGAAATGATGCAGAATGACTTGAGACAGTAGCATGGAGGAATATCATCAAGGGAATTACTTCAGAACATAAAAGACCGCTATGGAGATGCATGAATGCCTAAGCCAGCTGGCAATACACTGTACTAGTTTGTCAATACAGTGGTCACATTTGAGCGTTTGGATAATTTTCCTTGACCGGTACTGCTGTGGGGTTCATCTTGGTTTTAAAAGGATGCCATACTTTTTGGTAGATCTGTAGAAGGTGAAGGCAGCGAGGAAGGCAACTGGCTACATCATCTCATTATGCCATGTAAATTTCAGGGACAAGTTTTGGTTCTCCATTCAATTTTGACTTTGGTCTTGTTCCAGAGCTTGAGTTTTTGCACTCACATCTGATTTACAGATCTGACTTATTTGTATGCAGACTATTGGTTCCTCGTACCTCAGGCAGATGCTTCTAATTAGCAGCCTCCTATGACATGATTGTTATGGGGCAGGTGTCTATTCTGTGTGTTTTTTCCTCTCCGAAACAGGGTCCCAGAACACAGAGACAGGAAGATAGTGTAGATGATTCTATAAATAATGGTGATGATGACAATAAAGATGATAGTCATTACAATGATGTCTGATGCAGGTGATAATGAAATGACAACAGGTGGTGGTGATGATGATGATAAAGATGGATGTAATGATAATGATGTCTGTTGCAGGTGATAATGATATGACTACAGCAAAGACTGGAACATTAACAACACAAGAAAAACATTTATACCAACAGTATCAGACTTATAGACAGACCTATACTCCCTTGGGAGCTCAGGGACAGAAGAAAGTACTAGACAAATATTCTTACTGGATGATTCAATTTGGGATGATCTGCATGTTTTTTCTTAAGCTCCTCTAGCCTAGCCTCCTCCCTTTTCCTTTCCTCCTCCGACAGCTGTTTGAGGTGCTCTTGTTTTTCAAACTCCTTTTCCATCTCATAGGTCTTGAATTCCTCTCTCCTCTTCTTGTCTAGCTCCTCAAGATCTGACGTTGTCTGAAAGTTAATGGACAACAAAACAAGTGAAGGATTAGAATAATGGCCAATGTAGAGGTGCTGAACTGATGTGTGGTGAAGATGCTCAAAAATTAACAATGAACCATATGTGGTGGTAACAAGAACCAGGGTTAATACTGGCCAAGACCTGTCTATCCATCTAAGACATCACATAAATAGTTTCCCGGCTGGAAGGGGGAGGGGGAGGTAATAGCTAAAGTAGATATGACTGACACCTTCTTCAAGGTCAGAGTGCATCTGCCTGAGAGACGAGGAATCAACAGTATGCATACAAATAAGCCAAATCCGTAAAATGGATATGCATGCAAGACTCAAGTTCAGGAACAAGACCGAAGTCCACAAATGGATAAGCAACCAGGATTTTCCACCAGAGTTTACAGCCAGTGAAAGCAGAGAAGAAGAAGATGGGCAGCTATCACAGTGCAGAGGCAAGCCTGCTGCCTCCTTGTCAAGTGATCATGTGCTCAAATCTCCATCAAGACAGAAACATTTTAAAATCACCTGGGCTCACAGATCAACCAGACTAAAACACACCAGAAAATGTTCTGGGAAGCAAAGGCAACTGATACGATACCTACCAAATTACCCACTGGGTGCTGATTGTATTATTACAACATCATACTGACACCACACACTTATTATATACATTAAGGCAAAGAAATTAGAACTTTTCTTTCTGCTTACAATCAGCATTATATATCATAGACCTATGCTCCGTTGGGAGCGAAAGGACAGAAGAATAAGTAAAGTGAAGGACTCTTTCATTTCCTCGCCTTAAGGCATATTGGACATATAGGGCTAGACCTATATTTAATAGACCAAGGCTATTCAACTAAGTTTACTTAGGGGCCAAATATTTGTTAATGGGGATCGTCAGGGGCCACAAGCCTGAGCAGCAGCATAGAAAGATCTTTAATTCAACAAACTGAAAGTGATCTGCCGGCCACTTGCTAGGCCTTGGTGGGCCAAATGGGGTCCATGGGCTGCCAGGTGAATAGCCCTGTTATAGACAAAACGGGACTTGGAGAGGGGGGGGGTAGGGTTGTGGTCAGCATCATGCCAGCCGCCTTTACTTCCCAGGACTGAACCTGGTACCCTCAAAGCCGGGTCAACCTCAGAGCCATAGTCATTTTTGAAAAAAGTCCAGCTCCAACAGGACCTGAACCCACGACCTTCCAATCCGCAGGCGAGCATCTAGCTGGTAAACCATGACGAGAAGAATAAGAACCAGACAAATATTCTTCCTGGATGATTCAACTTAGGAACAACGGCATGTTTTTCTCTTAAGCTCCTCTAGCCTAGCCTCCTCCCTTTTCCTTTCTACCTCCGACAGCTGTTTTCAGGTGCTCATGTTTTCTAAACTCCTTTTCCATCTCATAGGTCTTGAATTCCTCTCTTCTCATATGGTTTACCTCTTTGCCAAGGCACACGAAAAAGGCATTTTCTTTCTATTTACATTCAACATTTGTTTACCACAAATATATATTTGAGGGGGCTTTAAATATAAATCTTAAAAGTTATAAAGAAATTATAATAACCATGTTACTGTCTTGTAACCAGCCAGTACTGTTGTTAAGGATGACAAGCACATGACATCACGGAGCAGACTAACATGGTAATGGCACAATGATGGTTTAAAGATGACCGCCCCAATTCTGACATGCACCAAAGAGGAGCAGCATTCTGTTATCCGTTTTTTGAAATCAAGTTATCAGCAAACGAAGACACACGCTATGGAGAGGAGGAACTTTATAACACATGGAGCATGCATAATTACAACAAACACACTAACACAACACATACATAGACAACACATTCACAAAACACACACAGACACAAGACATACACAAGTACACAACACAAACACACTCACAGACACAACAGAGAATACCTGACACCATGAGCAGCTGTTGGCCGATAAAGGCAATATGGCACAATGCTGGTACGTTCGCATTTGATGTGTATGAAGGATTTCAGCGAAAGCACAAAACAGTCGCTGTTAGATAGATCCTATGCAGTGCGTGATGGACTGTGGTGAGAACCGCTGGTTCACTAACTGAATGGAGGCAGCACTATTGGAAAGAACACTAATATTTTGTTTAGGAACTTAGAGATTGGATCCAACAGGTATATGCCCTGGCCTTCCTCAGGGACCACCCTTGTCACCTGTCTTGTTCAACATATATACAACAAGTCTGGGCAAAAATACAGCCCACTGGACCAGGGCGAACTTTGACATTTGCAGACGATGTCCTAATGTACCAAAGAAGATGATGAAAAACAAGAAGACTCGTGATGTATTGTTTGGGGCAGTAAAATTCTGAAATAAAATTACAAGAACATCACATTGTTGCTTTTACCTTCTGAATAAGAGTTTTCAAATCCTCTACCTCAAAACTATGAGGATTTTTCAAATCCAAATGACCTGGCATCGGGAAGTACTTCAGGCTCTTGGAACCATTAACTGCAGAAAAATACAGTAACATGGTCACACATAAAAGATGCTAGGCCCCTGAAACGTTAACATTTACACCCCGAACATCCTTGGGAGAAAAAACATATGATTCCGAGAATTCACAAGAAAAAAATTATTATTTTTTGTTTTAAAAATTTAACAGTCACTGATAAATTTGTAAACAATTTATCCACTTGCAATTTTTTAAATTTATTTGATTATGAAGGGAAAATGCCTAGGGTGCCGGGTTTGAACCCATCTGTGGACAATTTGTCATGTGTTGGTTTTGACAGTGGTAGGTACCGAGAGCTGACCGTTGAGAGGACAATGGCAGACAACTGAAAGTAAAATTTGCTTAGAAAAACCACAACAGCCAAAAGCTGTAAAGGATATGGAACTAACTTATATGAAAGGTGTGAACAGTAAATATGAACGGAGCAGAGAGTTGAATGTATTTAATTCCACAAGGCCCTCAAAAATGTATACAGTGACTCACACTTGGTGAAGTACCTACTGAGTTAACATAAATTATTACACAATGGTTTTCAACCACGCCCCCCTCCCCCAACCAGCATTTTTGGTAAACATAATCATATCAGTGTGTGTATATGTTTGTCTGTGCCTTTATTTCTATGCCCCTGTGGGTTCCAGTGCAAAAACGTTCTAGTTATACTGTTCTCCAGTTTTCTCAGCGTACGTCTATCCAAAGCCAGCATATGTGTTGTTTAGTTCTCTTCCAAAGCTCAACATTAGTGATTTTTTCATATCATTTAAATCTCTCTACTCTGCGCAGGCACCAGTTAATGAATGTTTGTAGCCTTTTAGTAACTGCCTTAGATGTTCTCTGTGTTTCGCTCCAGCTCCATACAACAGTACTGATTTGGCATTAGAATTAACAATTTTGAGTTTAGTTCTTAACCTACCTGCTATCCCTTTATCCTAAGAAAATATATATTATCTCCATAAAATCAGTTACTGGTACCATTAGAATGGAACTCTTCACTTGCTGCTGAAGATGGGTATCCTGCACTTATGGGAGTATCTTAAATGTTGTAATGTCAATTCTTAATTTAACATTCTATAAAAGCATTCATAATCAAAGCCTCACAAACCTTGCATTTCCATTCGAACAAGTTCCTGCAGTCGAGCAATCTCTAGTCGCTTGAGTTCATCTAAGGCTGTACGAACTGTGTGGTTCACCATCTCTAAATGCACAGCTATGTTACCACTCTAGAGTTTCAACAAACAAAACTAGTATCACATAATCTATAAAAGAGATTATGAAACCTGTAAAACAGATTATGAAATCTGTAAAAGAGAACAGGAATTATAATTTTTTTTTTTTCAAGTGATGAGGAAATCTATAAAGAGATAAGAAAATCTTTAAAAGAGATGAGGAAATCTATAAAAGAAGAGGAAATCTATAAAAGAGATGAGGAAATCTATAAACGAGGAAATATATAAAAGTAATGAGGAAATCTATAAAAGAGATGAGGAAATCTATAAGATATTAGGAAATCTAAAAAAGGGATGAGGAAATGTATAAAAGAGATTAGGAAATCTATAAAAGAGATGAGGAAATCTATAAAAGAGATGAGAAAATCTATGAAAGAGATGAGGCAATTTATGAAAGAGATTAGGAAATCTATAAAAGAGATAAAGAAATCTATAAAAGAGATTTGTAAATCTACAAGGTCAGACAATTAAGTAATGAGACTGATTTTATTACGGCCAAGACAAGTGCCATCTATGAAGCAAAGCATGGAATCCAAAGAGGCAACCTTCATCTATGATCTGGCAACTTTGCATCACTGCCTGATAAGCAGACAACAAATAAGCCACCATTTCATTGACCTAGTTAGATGTCCATTGTTACGAAATCAGCATGGAGCAAATAGCTAACATTAAATTCTGTTTAAAACTCAGAAAAAGCGCCACTGAGACAGTTGAATTGATGTGACAAGTTTATGAGGATAATTGTTTATCTGATGCACAGATTTTCAGGTGGTATTCACAATTCAGAAATGGTGTAGAAATGATTAATAATGCAACTAGACCTGGACGCCCAATTTCTGTTTGTAATGATGAACTCACTGCAAAAGTCACAGAACGGATACAAGAAAATCGTTGTTTTACCGTCAGGATGATGGCAGATTAATCTGGTGTTAATAGAGAGACCCTTCGTAAAATTTTAGTGCAAGATTTTGGCCCAAAAAAAAACACATTGCTTGCAGGTTTGTACCGCATTCGTTGTCTGATGACCAAAAACCTCAGCGGGTTGAGTACCCAAGAGACATCATCAAAACAGGAATTTCTGGCCCCAAAATAAGTGTGTACTCTTAACTATCCACCCTATTCCCCAGATTTGTCTCGCTGTGATTATCTTCTATTCCCAAAATTAAAGTTACCATTGAAAGGACGCTTCTTTGACGATATTGATGACATCCAAAGGGCCGTAACATAGAAGCAACAGAAGAACAAAAGAGGTCGTTCCAGTGTTTGTTAGGTCGTGCTACTCACTATATCAATGCACAAGGGGTTTACTTTGAATAAAATACAGGTTATATCTTCAACTGTTGATTATTTTAATTTTTATGGAATTAGTCTGATTATTTAATTGTCGGACCTTGTATATAAGAGATTAGGAAATCTATAAAAGAGATTAGGAAATCTATAAAAAAGATTAGGAAATCCAAAAAAAGAGATTAGGAAATCTGTAAAGAAAAATCTGCTTACTGAAATGTTGAGTGTGACCTGTTCATCTGTGTGGAAGAAAATGCTGGACTATGAGTGTCAAGATCTTCTCGGCTGCTGAGATCTTTCTTGTTGTCAAGAAACTAACTGGAGTAGTGTTTTCCACGTACTTATCACGAACCCGCCCGTACTATGCTGCGTGTTCCTTCTCTTCCCATTCATGCCACGGTGGGTCGCAAGGCTTGTCCTATGTTATGGCGATGTCATGTATTCCTTTTTTTCAACGGTTTTTTTCTCATGTTGTCACTGCTCACTTGCGGGATTATTTCCACATTGTGTTTCATGCCCAACGGTTCCGGAGCATGGAAACTATAAGGTTTTCGTATTGTTACCATCCTTGTGGGAGTCGCCGTGACCGAGCGGCTAGACGCTCGTCGGGGATCGGAGGGTCGTGTGTTCGCCAGACTTTTTTCAAAAATGACCTTGGCTCCCAGGTCGACCCAGCCTTGAGTGGGTACCGGGTGCAGTCCCGGGAAGTAAAGGCGGTGGGCGTGATGCTGACCACATCACCCATCTTGTGCCGATTGGTCTATAAAAATATAGGTCTAGCCCTATATGCCCTATACGCCTAAAGGCGTGGAAAAGGGTCCTTTACTTTTTTTTTACTACCATCTTTGTCAATTGCTTCTTTTTTCTGGAGGGAAGCCATCGCCAAGGAACGTAGAAATAAAAAAACATCCAGTTTCAATACTCACGAACATCGCGCCTTCAACGCTTTCCCCTGCAATACTTCTTACTTGTACACAGGTGACTGCAGTGCCTCAAAGAGACTCACGTCAACACAAACTCCCACAAACATTATATACAGCAAGCAAACATCCAACCAAGCCATAACACAAATACAACACATGACAGGCCATGCGAACCACCGCGGCACAAATTGGAAAGAAAGGAACTCTTGTCGTGCAGGTGAATTCATGATAAGTTCCGTTTTTCATTCCAATGTTTCCGAAGCCTCTATGGTGAAGTGACAAAGCCATTTGTCTAGTGCTCCAAAGATCATGGGTTCTTATACATTTGTCCTTATAAAGGCAGTTGGCATGCTGTGTCATGGTCTAGAGTAAGGCTGTGATATCTTCTCCTCTCAGCCCAACACATCCGGTTTCTGTAAATCCGTAATTAGTCTCTTTTACAACATTTATGTCAAGGAGCAGTGGATCTTTTAATTTTTTTCGACAAATGAGGCCACGGAACCCACACTTTGATTCTTCTTATCTTCTTATTCAGCATTCCGCAACATTAGGATTATCTGTTATAAAAATAAAAAAGCTTGTTAAGGGTCAGCATCCCCCACCCTCCTTAAATGGGGTCCGGGGTTCCATACAGGTAGCCAAGCAAATGACTTTACAGACAGAAGAGGAGAAGTACCTTGATATCGGAAACATTGGCTTTCTCCAGTTTTTCCCTAAATCCTGGATCACTCTCTAGTACCTCCACAACCTGGCGCAGATACCGATCGTATGCTAATCCAGTCTGCAGGAAAAACAATAAAGAATTTTTTAACAATAATTTATACAGCAAAATAAGTAAATCTTGTTTCCCAAGTTTTTTTGTTTGTTATAAACTTTTCCCCTCCAGATTTGTATTCTGCAGAATTAACATCCTAAGGATGAGACTCAAACAGCTTTGTATCCTTGAAACCCTCTTCAACGATATAGCCATACAGCACAGTTATAATGGGGTACTACAAAAAATTATGATGTAACATGTAATCCAGCGGGTGTAGGTTTGTGTCGAAGGTGAAATTGATTTTGTTTTATTTCAAACAGCAGCACAACATTGGATTTAAATTATAATAGTTGTATTTTTAGAATAAATTTAAATATAAGTTAACTAAAGCAACACAAATGACACATTGCACAGTTTACTGACTGGCATCTTGAGTTTTTACATAGCAAATGATAACCCATAAAACTTGAATCCTTGCAACTTCTTATAGTCCATGCCATTTGGCACTACCTTCTAACTAGTGTACTGTCAATTAATTCTGACACAGACCATTTTCCATGCCATGATGTCAAATTGTCCAGCATCTTCTCTCTCAATCTCCTGCTAAGTCTTTCCTCTCCAACTTTCCCACCGTCACAATGTACTCCAGTTTTCTCGGTTGCATGACCAAAGAATGTGGATTGTCTCCTACTGATGTGGGCAGTCAGCTCTTTTCATGTGCCAATTTCTTTGAAGACATCTTCTTTACTCTTTTATCTGTCCAGGGTATTCTCATTATAAAACCCTATAATTTATCAATAATCATCCCACTGTCCATGATTCACTTTCATACATCAGGACAGGATTTCACTTTTAAAAACTCAGTTAAAATATAATTTTAAGAATGAAGACAGAAACAATAAACTGCACAATGTATTGCCTGGCAGCTTGATAGGTGCATAACCCTGAAAAATGATTCATCATATTAAATTTATTTAACTTCAGAGTTGTAACCCAGTTGATTTTCTGCTGCATTTGTTTTACTGATACCCAATTTCATCATTTTTTTTATTTTTTTTATTTATTTATGTCTGAAAATTGAAATTTTTTGTGTGAACTGTGTAAAATGGTTGTTACATTAAAAAAGAATATTTGTTTCTGGAAAACTCGAAATTTAAAAATTACGAGGCCTTGGAATCATTTTATGTCACCGGCGTAAAACGGTTAATACAGAGTTTAAATTAACATACAATGAAATACAAAACATGAATTGTTTCCACTAAAATCCACAAGTGACACTGCCTGTTTAAGAATGTACATCTCCCTAATGCACCTCAGAAGATGCAGAAAAAATACGCCAGACAATATACTACGCAAAATATTGTTTGTGCCCTCATTTTATCTTCTTTACCTTCTGCGTTCGCCTTTAAAAAGGCAGCTGGCATGTTTAATTGTGGTTTACAGCTAGGCTGCAATATCTGTACCTTTTTTTGCTCAATATATCCAATTTTAGGAAAACCTTAATTTGCAGAACACGCTTGTTAAGGGGCAATAGAGTCTAACCTATTATTTAAAAAAACAAAAACGCTTTTATGATCATAGTGCATCCTAAAAACTATGGCCACAAAATATTCTTTTGTATTTTTACATAAGTATAGGGGTGGGGGGGGGGGGGTGCTGCGTGGTCTCGAGGTATGGTGTCCGCCCCCAGTGCTCTGGTTAGTGTGATTGGATGCCCATGTGCATTGTTGCACACGTAAAAAAATCCCTTTGCAGTTGGAAATCAAAAAGAGTAGCCCAACGGCGCTGCCTGGGTAAAAATTTGGAGTTAAAAATCGACCCAAATTATTTCAGGATCCTTGCCGGTGCTACAGAGCCTGTGCACTGTGCTGAGCTTCTTCGGACTCAGACATGAGTTAGAAGAAGAACGGAGCACTTATGGGTTATTACCCGTATTCCATGATGTTGATCCGTTGTTGTCAAACATCAAAACATATATACAAGATCTGCATTTTTTTGGGTTTAAATTCAGATTAAACTCAGAACTGATATTTACTTTGTTGTTTCAAACAAATATATGATTTATTTAAATTTTTTTTAAACTAGTGAAATTCTATAGCTCCCTAAGTGATCACCCATCCCACCTCTTAAATGGGGGAATACCACAACAAACCTCCTCAGGCTTCTCGTCTGATCCCCCTTCGGCTGTGTGTGGCTGTGGTGGTCCCTGTTTCACAGGCTTTGCCATCAGTGGAGTCAAAGTCCCCATTAAGAAACAAACCGCACTTAGTAAACGTAATCTCATCCTTCCAAATTTGTGCTGTAGACCTTCAACTGAAAAAAAAAATTTGAAAGAAACAAACTGTTGTAATAATAAATATAGGATTAAGGTAGGTAGGTAGGTAGTGTACTCCACCAGGACATGACACAAGTGATAAACACCCGGTGACACAAAGTGCCACCATGTGGATGAGGATCACCCATGGAGAGGTCTCAGAAACCCCTTCAGCCGTTATGGCCGAATCTATGGCTAGGCCATATCTATGCCCCGGCTATATTCAGGGCCCCCAGGAGAAGCCAAAGTAGGGCTTCAAATAACCCCCAAAAAATGCATCCCACATGGGGCAACTTTACTGAGGATTAAGGTAAGCGGTTTGATTGTTTGTTAGAATCAGGGAAACTCCTAGGTTACAAGACATAAAGTCAGCCTGAGAGAGTGAAAACTTGTGAATGTGTGAGTAGACTTGGCAACATGGAATAAGTGGGGGGAATAGCCGAACAGAAATTAATTCTGTGACAGGGTCCCAGAAGTAGAAAGTGTGAAAGTTGGTCGTCTGTACTGAAAGCTGATTGTCTGCATTGAAAGTTACGCTGAATGACGGCTGATAGAAAAACGATATTGATGTATCCTGCTGAGTACTGATTATGGTTGTATAGATGTCAACGATGAACGCTGAAGGTCTGGTCGTGTGAAGTGCGGACAAGTGGAACCTGCATGTGTGAAGCAAGTATCACGCTGTAGATTGTCGCTAAGCTGTGTGTTAGACTGGAGGACAAGCTCTCGTAGCTGATGTGTTGTGATCAATAAATGTGAAACTGTCATCAACTGGTGTCGACTGTTATGTGAAGGAGTTATCGGAGTTGACTGGAAATAGACTCTGTCTCGTCTGCTCCGTGAACACTAGACAATGACCAGTCTCTTATCACAGTAAGAGAAACGTTATGCAAATTAAATGCATAAGTTGTTAGACATTAGCTGAGGCCCCAACATCACTACAGATAGGTCGCCCCATACAACCTCCATTTATACTCCTCAAAAGCAAGGCCCCTGAGCCCACATATAGAGCTTGCCTATCAATACTGTGCCCTTATGTTTGTTTCTACAGTAAACTTTTTGTAACTAACATGTCTTTCATGTCAACCTTTGCTCATAAAATAGGTACTAGAGATCTAGAAGATTTAATCTTCTTCTGCTTCACATTCACCGGCTGTAAACTCTTGCAGAAATTTATGGTAGTTTAACTACCTCTGGATTTTAGACTTGTTCCAGAACCTTATTGTTGTATGCACGTCCATTTTACAGATCTGACTTATCTATTTGCAGACTGTTGGTTTCTTGCCTCTCAGGCAGATGCACTCTGACTTCGAAGGAAACATCCTGAATTAGTCGACTCTTACGACATGCTTGTTGGGGAGGCAGTGGGTCTATTCTTGTTTTCCCCACAATGGGACCCCGGAACCCACACGGGGATCTAGAAGAAATGACAACATATTACTTATTGCTTTTTTTATATCATCCTCAGGTATCATTCAGTCACCAGATTTATGGATATAGAATGGCATCCCTGGTGCATTTCAGCAAATGTCTTCAGCCAACTCAGGGGAAGCTATCATATCCTGTGCTACCTCCTGCAGGTCACTTGTAGGTGTCCTTCCCCGGTTATTCATCCTGTCTCTAATACTCTTCTCCATGTATTTTTATATCTCCATTGTCGTGAAGTAAGCAGCCAACCCTACACGAAGGCCGAGTCGTGATGCTGACTTACCTTAGCGGGCATGTCACATTTCAAACTTAAACCCGCCCGGAGGGGTATATAGTCCCTTATAATGATATATACCTCTATCTGGTGAAATATTCATTTCTAGACCCTTCTAGGTGCTTTGATAAATCTTCATTTTCAAACTTGCAACTGTAGGTTGAAGATTTCTGGTGTTTAATTCAGAAATTCCTGTAAGCCGGTTTACTCCTTAGGCATGAATACAGGGGACTTCTTTCCTAGTGACGCCGAGTTTAGGTTTGAGCGGCTTTCTCTCGCCTGATTCCTAAGTGTCAAGACATGTATACAGTCTATGTAGAAATTGGCGCATTCAACGTACCAGTTCTATATTGAAAGAATTCCTAGGCTTGGGTAAGTTTATTATAGTTTACGAGTACCATAATATATGTCTTTTTAAAGTTGGCCACTGCTGCAGAGAGGGAAGATTCAGCTGTGTGATCGCACAGAGTTGGGCCATTCTTGATGTCCAGAGATCGGGCTCCAAACATTAAACCTTTCCCTGTGCAGACTAAATAGTTTGTGCTCTACATAACCCACACCATTTGTAAAGATATTAAACCCTACAAGTAATTATTCTATAACCAAACGTAGGATTTGTATCGACTAATAGACACATGTAAACTGGGTCATCTTTAGCCCGCTTGATGATGTGACAAAAGCAAGCTCGGCGCTCTGAGTCAAAGGTTATTTTTAGCACAACAAAGTGTGTGCGGTGAACAGACGGTGGATGGTATAATATATATATGTTTGAGAGAGAGATGGGATGTATATCTACAAGTGCGTGTGGGCGAGGAGAGTTGACTTAGTCTATCTGTCTCCACTCTGGCACTCATCTCCTGTCACTGTTACTGACTGAACAATAGAGATGATATGTGGAGACTTATACTGTCTCATTATCCTCAGTGCTGTCCTCTGAATGATTACTAATGTGGATGTTAATAAACTGAGCTTGACATGTAACCCCTGAGATGACTGCTAATTCTGAGTTCCTTCTTGATACAGGATGATATCTCCTTGGAGGCCAGGCAGTAAATCAGCAGTCCACAAAACCACCTACAGGGAAGTCACCTATGTCTAAGCCAGTGGTGGGCATCAGATTATAAACCTAACTGGGGTCATCAAGTAATGAAATCCTCCAGTTGGTCTACAGACAACATTATGGGTGTTGTACCTTCACCATCATTTATCCGGCAGCTTGTTTGTGTCTCAAGTGTTTGACGTGGTACCTGAGATCCTCTCCAGGAGCTTTGGTGAATATCCAGTGTTCGAGTGTCTATCTTGAACATAACAACAGAGTGACTGAACATCCAGCCAGTTCAAAAAACCAGGGATTCAGTTTCGGCCAAGTGTGCCTAGGAATATTATATATTTTGTAGTGCCAAAGCTTGAGTTGCCCTACTCCTGAAATAAGTTGAGCGTATATTGGCCACGGGATATCCCTTAGACCAATACGAGCCAACGACTCAACATAATTATTTCAGAGTGCTGTTGGTTCTTAAGGAGAAATCCTTAAATCAGGCACGTGACAGGAGCGGTATGTGACATCCATTATCTGCTTTGTGGGTTCCAGTATACGGATATTCTATACATTTAATTTCTCCTACAATTTGTGCTATTTTTGTATACACAGTTTTAACTTTTTGAGGGCTAAGCAACACATTACAAACTGACATAACTAATTTAACTACACTCTGTTACTAAAGGTGTTAACATCTAAGGTGCTAATTCTAGAAAAATCTTAAGACCAATGCAGATCAGAAATCCAGACCTCTGTCGACTTTCTCTGTATACTTTCAGAACTTTATTAGGAAAAGATTTTCCCATAGTTTTGGCTAGTAAACTTATTTCCTTATATGTCTCAGGGCCATTATCATTATGCTGGCCATTCACATATATTACCACCACAGATTTTAAAGCAGTAATCTGACTTGCAAATTTGCAAATCATTTATGATTTCACTGTGGCAAAAATCAGCTACAGTTCATTTGAGGTTGACCCAAAAAAAATGAAAACCTAGCAACATTTAACTGTCTTTATGAAGTTGCAGAGCTCATCGGTTTTAATATAAACTATTATAATTGATAATAATATGTCATTATTTATATTAATTATTATTTATTATTAATTGCCATTGTAACGCCGGTTTTTCGTTAAAAATGAAAAATACATACTCTCTACAATGTAAATAGATAATTTAATGTGTAACCAGTCAATGTTGTCTTCACAACAAATTTCTTCCGTCTGAACGACTTTGGACACGTCACTTCTGTAGATTTTCGTCCGGGTTTTTTTTTTAGATAGTAATTTAAAAAACAAACAAGTTGAAAGTTAAGCTGGCCTTCTTTTTGTCTAGTTTTCTGTTTAGTAACTTACTGCTCGATCGAATGCTACGATCTTCCAACTTCAATGCAGATCTTAAAAGATTGAAAGACACTTCAAGTACAATTTTTTTTTAAAATATAACTATTGCGTTATTTTCGTAAAAAGGCAGAGAAAGCCGAGTTTCCTCTCCAGTCAAATTGTGTGTTGTTGAGAGCGAGCAGACGACGGAAGATACGTGTACCAAAGGGAGTTAAATATCAAGTACATTCTAATGGTTGTCTCCCCATAACTTTGTGTAAAGTCGTCGTCATTAATAATCGTCCTTACCCGCATAGGGCTGCATTACACCTGGCTTGTTGTTCCAGGATGCCCTAATTATAATTCTTTGGAGGTTGAACAAAGATGAGTTTAGTTGAGAATCGACGGTACTCAGGGCATTGTCATAAGGGTTCAGCCCCATCCGCAGCAGCCAGCTTAGATTTCCTATACCAATGGTACTTGTACTCTATCAGTCTGGTTATATAACCAACCTTCGTCACTCCTAGCAGCATCTCTCACCAGACTGGTGATGAATTTGCTCAGAATTGTACATATGCTTCCACAAGCCTTTACCGCGTATGCCTTATCGTGCATCAATATTCCACCAAGCTTGTGCAGAGGCAGCTAATCCATCTCCCTGTTAACTTCTCAACACAGCGGCATACCCGGCGAAAAGATCAAGGCCATACTCTTCACCCGTGACCCCTTTCTAGTCGTCCCACCATGGTCCAATTTCTTTCCTCTCATAATTTCATTGCCACGTGAACCATTTACGCATTTTATTTTCAAGGAAAATTTAATATTCTTTTGTAAAACAACATCTCTGAGATCTCAAGAAATTGTTTGGCGTTTTTTTACTGACTGTCCATGATTCACAGCTATACGT